TTGATCCGATTTTGATGAAATTTGGTACAAACGTGTAAACCTACATTTATTTGAACGAGTTCGCGAACCAGCATAATCGGACCATGGGATCAGGGGTTTATGGGGGGTTTTATGGGGTAAAAATGGGTTTTTCTCATTTTTGACCCTGAAAACTTTAAATTTCTAAATTTCTCTCTAGACCATTTTGAAGAGCTTAAAAAAACAAATAATTTAGTATATTGAAGTGTTTTTGAATGTTCATTGACTACGGAGAAAATTATAAAAATTGTAAATTTAAAATTCCCATGTTATTCTTATGGAGAATAAATAAACTGTTCTAGTTTGCTTGTTTATGGATATATTTTAATCAAATTTGGCAATTTGGTTTATTTCATACTAAGCTATCAATATTTCAATTGAAAAAACACACCTCAACATCTTCCCCGTAGCAGCAAACCTAACTACTCACTAAAATTAATGTTATTTAAATAGGAAATAAATCTGAAAATTTATAGGGAATATTTTAGTAGAAATCAAGCTGGGTAAATGGAAATTCGCTTAGTATGCAGGTTTGCTGCGACGGGGGTATTTGTAATTTGAAGTGGTTTCCGCGCCTAAAAAAATGTTTTAAAGGTATTTTATTGTTTATTAAGATCGTAGGAATGTTTTAAAAACGTTTAAAAGAAAATTCCAGAAAGTTCAGAAATACCGAAACTATAAACACGAAATGACAGGTTAAATCGTAGTTATAATAGTCAATCAGCTGCTAATAGTATTATTATCTTTAAGTGTTGCCAACCTATTTCCAAGCGTACACGGATTATGTGCATAATAGAACCACGCTGTTTTGTGTTGTTTCGTTGGAATCCTGGTGTGCGGCAAAGTATAAACCGTACGACAAAGTATAAACCGTACGGCAAAGTATAAATATGCAGCAATTAGCAGCTTTCTGTACTATAAACAGTACAAGGTAGCCAACTTTGTCGGGTGACTGTAGGAAATAGTTATTTGTGTAACTAGTGGTGAAAGTGGCACTTTGCTGCACACGAGAGCAATGTTTACGCACGAGCCGCAGGCGAGTGTGGAATGATCTCGAGTGCAGCAAAGGCCTTTTTCACTCGTGTTACACATTATATTTTTCCTACAGTCACTATAAAGCATATAAATAATTAGTCTTTCAAACACTATGCAACACGTTTTTAGGTTCAGCTGGCAACACAAATGGTGCCCTAGAGAAAGTAGTACCCGCGGTCCATATCACTCCGCTATTTTTCCTCGGCAAGAAATGTGCTCCGCGTTTTGATAATATAGTTCCGTATGTTTTTGTAATTTGAAGTGGTTTCCGCGCCTAAAAAAAAATGCTTAAACGGTATTTTCTTGTTTATTAAGATCGTAGGAATGTTTTAAAAACGTTTAAAAGAAAAGTCCAGAAAGTTCAGAATTACCGAAACTATAAACACGAAATGACAGGTTAAATCGTAGTTATAATAGTCAATCAGCTGCTCATAGTATAGTTATCTTTAAGTGTTGCCAACCTATTTCCAAGCGTACACGGATTACGTGCATAATGGAACCACGCTGTTTTGTGTTGTTTCGTTGGAATCCTGATGTGCGGCAAAGTATAAACCGTACGGCAAAGTATAAATATGCAGCAATTAGCAGCTTTCTGTACTATAAACAGTACAAGGAAGCCAACTTTGTCGGGTGACTGTAGGAAAAATAAATTTCTATGATATATTTTTTTAATACGCCGAAGATTGCGAATATCATAAATAAACATCAAGGAACCATAGTACATACAAAATCAACGATCACATAATTTCCATGAGGATAAATTGTTGGAAAAACTCGACACTTATAAGGATAAAGATGAAAAACAAAAACCAACAAAGGCAGATTGAAACAATGCCGAACACATAACACATAAGCACGGCAAAATCCATTACAGTATGTAATCAAAATGAGTGATACACCATCACGGACGGGCGTTTTTCCATTACATTGTTAGTCTACGGGGGGGGGGGGGGGGGCTCGCGATGTACTGTGTTGGTAAAGTATTCAATAGCTGGTCACTAAATACATTACATACTAAAAAAAAGAAACGTTGAAAAAATCTATGGAAAATAAATAATTAGCTTTGGTCGAATGCGTATTTTCCTATTACATTGCAAACCAACGTCGAGGGATTACCACGGTATGGAGTTGGTAAAGGGTTTAAATAGCTGTTGTTTTATAAATAAGTTACACTGTAAAAACAAAACGTTGCAAAAACTATAAATAGAAAAAATAAGTGAATCCGTACATATTGTTTTATTAAACAAAATTTTAGTCACCATCGTCAAGGGCGTTCACGCTTTATGTAGTGTTACCAACTTATTAAATATAATAAATATTCAGCAAATAAATTACTTTGCTGTAAAAGCAAAACGTTACAAAAAAGATAGTAATACAATAGGATAACAGAAACAGTAATATGCCTATGTGTAAACATGTACGAATGTCTGTGTAACAGTTTGTACGTTGTTATTAAACCAGCGTTGAAAGGTATTGCACCATATTGAATGAATTCAACAAGTTGAATAGCTGTTGATTACTGAATACATTACTGATTAAAGAAACGAAACGTTGAAAAACTACATTATAGAAAATAGTAACACGTTCCAACCCGATTGTTGGTTAAATATATACATTACACAATGTGTTAACCTCAACATTGCAGAAATTATGTAGAGAAATACTAAAAATGTTTTAAATCCGAGTCGAAATATATATTTGAACAGCTTTTGGAATCCACCAGTAAGTAGGAAGTGAATCAAATCACGCCAAATATGATTTCAAGAGTATTTTGAAAAAGATTCATGATTGTACAGTAGTGCAAAATTACATACGGTAACATTCAAACTTTGACAGATACAATTAAATATTCATGAAAAATCCAAACATTGTGCAATAAGGATACCTTATACTGTATTGTTATTATATAAAAAATTGTATCCTAAATCGAGTTTTACAATAGAATGCCTTATCAAATTAAGAGACATTTAAGGTTTAAGATTTCCTAACGTTCAAATATATCCACACGGTGGGAAGGAACTACAGGTAAAACAGAGTTTAAGGGCTGGATGTTCTCCAAAATCCCTTAATGTGGCCACTTGTCATATCGGCTGTCGCATCTTTTACCCAAACTGCTCCGGTGCTTTATAGCTACTGCATCGCCGATGTCGCTGGGACTGCTCACTTTAGAGCAAAAACCTCCGTCCAGACAAAATGTTTTGCCCTTTTACATTTATTTGTACATACATTTATTTGTGATACAAGATATAGTGTAGTTGGATATGTTTGGCTCAACGATTTAGCTTTACCGAATTATCTATGGAAACCCGGAACCCGGACAATCGTAGTGGTAAGGGTTTTGTTGTGGTTTAAAACAAAATTCATGACATATTTTATAAGTAGTTAATACTGGAAAAATCGTTATCTTTTAAAGGATTTTTTCCTAAATAATTTCGTAAAATATTTGCCAAGGACTAATGCCGTAGGGGTGCCAAATAAACGAGATATCATTGGTGATTGGATCCATCTCTAACGTCAATTAGCGAATTATTAACGTGAAGGCCTACAACAGCCAATTAAACACAGCATTACACATTGCACTTCAATGTGTCTGCGAATATGAGCATTTCACCGCAGTTCAGACACTGGTGTGCTGACGAAAACGTGAATAATGTTGTGAGAAAAGGTAAAAGAGTTTAAGTACAAAGAAAACCTTTAACTTTAAATATTAGACCTACATTCGCTTAAACTAAAAAAAAATAAAACAATAAATTTCACTTCTCACTACGTCCGAAAAAAATATTATTTCATATACCGAGTTAATAACAAGAAAAAATAAGGAGTTTTGTGCTAGTCCTAAAATTATTTTCCTATACCATATTTTTCGTTACCGAGTTAGTTTATGTGACATAAAAAATGCAATAGCTTACAATAAGTCACCAATCTGTAAGTTAAGCATAATCTGTCGTTGGGTCCCTTAAACTATGTTAAATTTTACTTTAAAAACTGGCTAAAACTTAAACGCACGGATGGAAAGTCTATTTGCATCAACAAAGCTAAAACATACATGCAATTGATATAAATCGTTAACAGGAAATTTGACGCTGAAAGTGTTTATCCACTAAAACGGTGTTTCAAGTGTACAAAAACGAACCGCCCTTTATGTCTGGACGTAGCGCGTCGTTAACAAGGGGTTTTAATTAATCGCCATATTGGCCGATGGAATGTCACCAGCACAGGCCGCCAACCGTCACACGTGGAAAATTAAAAATTCCCCGCGACGGCAAAGCGCCCATCACTCACACTTCGATTGGCTAAGCCCGGTTTTACACCGCTAATATGTAACGTTGCGTTTAAAATTTCTTGCTATCAATCAAGGGTATGTCACCCCCATCACCCCTGAGGAAATGTCACCCCTAATGTGACGGGTAAACAAGAATCGATATATCGAAACATTCGCCCTAACGTGTAATTTTGTTACAAAATGCTACAAATAGCGTATAAAACTATAGCTTCAATTTACAAATACATCGTAGTAATGTAATTTAACGTGATTACTTATTCCTTTATAATCTATCTACACCTTAAGGTTCACGAAATACATTTCCACTTTGCGCATTCAAATGCTCATAATCTGTTTGATGAATTTCGTACGGTAAGTTATACATGATAAGATGTGTATCATAAATCAGGGGTTTTAAAAAAAGGGTCACTTTTATTGAAGTTTGACCTATGCAAATGAAGGTTGTGTAAATTTGGTTGGGTTCTGTTAGGTTAGGAAGTAGGGGGGCGGGACGCTGGCACCGGTCATGTCAACCACTGCTCACTGTGCGCGGTGGATGGAGTGGTACAAGTTAGGTCAGTTTCGGTTTGTTTCCTTACGAAATATAAGTCAAAGGACCTTCATAATGGTCGATGAATAACATTTTATACAACGACAGCTGTGTGAAAGATGTGTATTCACTTACCTCGTCTTTTCCCTTCATGACGCACATCTTGACCGCGTCCTCGGGCGAGTACCATATCAGCCTCTGCAACAAGAACATTCAGTGTAAACAATGCCACAATAATGGTGCGAACTACTTATAAATTACAATCTATCTCAACACACATTTCACACAAATAAGTCACGGTAAAACAACTACACTTGATACCGAAATTACGTAGAACCAGCAACCATCAAGGGTCAAACCTTACACTGGTGTGGTGAGCAGCGTTAAAAACTTGCACAACACACAAACACGTTCTAACTACATAATGCAAAAAGTGCGTATGCAAGATTATTTACCATGCGGGCAGTATCATTCAACTGCGACCAGCATAGTTTTGGGCATAACGTATGAACTTGTGTGAATTTTAGTACGTTTAGTACGTCACAGTAGAAAAAGTTGAAGTTGAAAAAAAGAAATGCGAAACAGGTTTACCTATATAAAACGGCACTAAACAAATAAATGATCCTAATGCTATATCAATCAGTAAAATCGTCGTGTTACAGGCGAGTGTTGGCAACTCAAAATTTCACATTATGTTTTATATCTAATAACGTGTAACGAAAAAAACTACCTTTGATAATGGAACAGTTCACTGCCATAACAACACTTATTTTCACACCCTTCGTCATAAGCATAAAGTACAATTGCAATTCTCAAAAGTGTTATGTTACTATTAAAAAAACTACTGTACTTCCAATTTCTTAAAAACCTCAGGGGATTAAACAAACGACAGAACAACGTGAATTCATGGGTTAAGATTGTACCCCCACATTTTTGCGAATCGTAGTATTTATGGGTTGTAATTTGAAAAAATCACCATCTCTTCCTACTTGCAGAATCTATATGCAATTCAAATCAGCCTCCCACGATCAGTCCGGCAACTACTCTATCGCATCCACTGCAATATTGTAAACGGCTCGTCCCACCCCTAAGCAAGATCTACAGCGAGATTTGCCGGATTCAATTCCAGACGGGGGTCATTTTTCAGCCGAATCCACGGGAAACAATTTGCGACTTGCCGCATGCATAACTAAGGCTCGGGCTACGGACGAAGATGACAACTACTGTACAAGGAGTGCATTTGACTCACAAAACCCGACGTCGACCGAGGAATACCGCCGAAATTTACATTTTTCAAAGAAACTTGCATCTCATGAATAACAGTGGAAATTGCTTAAAGGCTGGCGAACTTGAAATCATCATATGAAACAGGAGTCTACTAGGGGATGGAAATTAAACGACAAAATTACTTTAAAGTTATTTTACTTATAATTATTCATTTTCACACTTTTTTGTATAGCCAGTTTAGTTTAAAAACATTGAATAAAAAACATTACCTCATGTTTGCCTGGATTTTTTAAGGGTATATGTAGCCCGATGTAAATATGTGTAAAATGTAAAAAATATAAGGTAAATAAAATTATTGCTAAAGTAAAAGTTGAATAAACAACAGTCGTTCAAATTTTTCCCCATAAAACGATGTGTTGATTGTGCAACATTTGGCTCAAACAGGTCATTACTACCCACATATGAACGCACTATATTCAACGGCAAGTAGGCAATGTATATTTCTCAACCCAGATCGCACACAGCGGTGTACAGAAGGCGAAGTTTACGACACAGGGGACCAGACCAGGACCCACGTAGGCTACACGCCGTTGCCACTTTACTTTTATGCTTTTCCATTGCAGCTGATCAGATAAGACTCGCAGGAAATCTACAACCGCAACATGCCACATGGAAATACACGGTGTGGATATACCAAGGTAGTGTCGTAGCTCTTAGCGGGCGCAATGAGAAAATGTAACTGTTAAACAACCTTTTAGGACATTTACATAGCAAAGTGTTTTATTAATGAAGGTCTCTAACAAAATATCGAGGCTAGACGGTAACAGGGTTTTTGCCGTTCCCTAAACTTTTGGCGTACATATACATTTGAAATAAAATAAATAAATCCGAATATCCCGTCTCATTGGGATCAAACTGGTCAAGTGAAACACGGAACTTTTGTTTGTGAGGTTCCGGGTTCAAATACCACCAAATCATTAACGGATTTTATCCAAAAGAAAATGCCGTAACACCATAATCTCGCAGTAATGTGAAAATTATTCCAGGCTAACATCCTAACAAATAATCCCATCCCATACCAAAATTGGTCCTAATCAGTTCCTAATAGTCCGTAAACTCGCACATTCACTATTCGCTGCAACAGAACGGAAGAGCTTTCTACACAGCTAACAAAACATCAGCATACAGCGGGAATGGAGTGCAACGCACACACTACGCCTACCCAATACCCAATAGCCAACACTATAGCGCTCTTACACGCCATAATGAAAAATAGCGGGAGAAAAACAGCGTCCAGGGTGACAGCTGAATCATTATCTGTAATTGAAATTGGAACAAAATTGGATCAGTATTACAACCGATGGGGAGGGGGGTGGAGGAGGGGGGAGTTTGAATATGCATGCGTCTGCCCTGCTATAGGCTGCGTGCCTTTCACAAGCTTCTAATGACTTTTATCTCATCATTTTGTATTTAGCGGGTCTGCTCGGGCTGATTAGGTTTTTGGTTATTGTGGCAAATGCAAATCGCCCCGTGAATATTCAATGGGTGTAATGAGCTTCACCAAATATTGTACGTGGGTGTTTGTGTCGATGGGTTTATCTTGTATAGCTCAGCAATTGTGGCCAAGTTTATTGTTAACGAGTTGCATTCATTAAAGCTTAGCTAAATGGATTCTCGTCGAAAGAATAGCCGTCTCGTGAGATTCACACTGTATATTTTTAAGATGATGCAATACTAGTTGCTACCAACTAGTCGTCGTGATGTTACTTTATAAAGGAAACCCGATATAGTAAATTATAACTGTAGTGGTAATGGTGTGGAAAGGTTTTCAGGTGTCAAAAATGAAACCTGTCAACATTTAAATTGAATAATTATCAGAATAACATAAGCAAATATCGTCAGATTACAAAAAAATTGAATATATGTACAAACCTAAATATACTAGGATATTTTACCACCCCTCAACAATCTTTCGTTAATTAGCATAAAAACATATTCAAAAATATATTTTACTCTTTAAATTTAGTAAATTGACTCTATGTTCGTAGTGACCAAGATATTGAAAGACTAAACGTAACCTTTTTGAATTTTCTTCCAATTTAAATATTTAATTATTTAGGGACTTATATTTCTTACTAACTCTATTTTTAAGGTTTAATAGACTTTCCAAATTAATTATAAACATGTGGTTCCTTAACAAGGCAATTATAAATACTCATCTAGCCAATATTGATATTTTAGGCGAAAATCTCGTGATTTTTATGATCCTGTTTGTTAAAATTTTTGGTATATAGCAACGTTAATTTAAGATAGTTTACAGGGTTTTTACGACGGTTATCCTAATAACAGAGGTTGACGTTAAACAGTGACAGCTCTGGGATTTTCACAGCTTGTTTCAACGCTCTAGCTCAAGTAAAAACAAAATTAATACATTTACACTTCTTGCAATGTCTTACTCTCCTAAATCCATGTTTCACTTCAACAGCTAAAACTATCACGTAAGGCAATCATAGAAAAATATTTCTAACAATTTAGTCGTAACCGATTTGGTTATCAAGGTTTCCTACAGTATAATAGTACCTAAACGTATTTATAATCTTCTACTGGATACCGTAAAAACTGTATACACACACAAACGTCAAATGTACTCAAACATACTGTTTTGTGTGTAAAACTGTTCATTCTTCGGCACAAGATGACCAAAGCAGGACGTCCATGTTCAGATTAAAGATGTTTCCGACTTGGATACAAAATTATTAGCTTGATGTAATTTCAAGGATTACCATTAATAACAAAATTATAATATCCATCGGTAATCCCGAAGCTACAACACCAACATGAAAAAAAATGTAAAAGTTTTAGACAAGACGATTAGGAAGCTTAAAATCTCCGACAAAATTTAGCAACTTTTGCGTGTAAGCGTAAACTCAAACAATATGATATGAAGCTACACACATATTTACACGGTGTCGAGGCCGTCGTTACAGTGGTGTATACAGGTGTCTATGTTAATTCCTACACTAATCCTTGCCAGCGTCTAGATGAGACACCTCGTTTGTCTTTCTGATGAGAACAGGGGAAGGGGGGAAAGGGATTATACAGAGGATAACATATAGAGGGGGGAGCAGGTAGAAATATGTTAAACGTGGCAAACGTGAAGTTAGAAAATGTTTTGGTTAATCTACTATCCATTCCTTTATTTTGTTGGACCTAATAATGCCCAAAATATCTTGAGCAGTTAAATTAGTTACAAAAGGTATCAGCAATTAAACACATATTTTTGAACGATGACCGTTATCGAGTTACATAATATACTGTAGCAGCGTTATGAAAATGAAAACGAAAAGACCAGGCGCTGAACGCAATATGAGTACAGCTAATATGTAGTATGCCTGATGTTGAAGGCGTCCTCTAGGCATTCCCGGGCGAAAACAGTAAAAAATATACAGTTAAAAGTGACCAAGACGTACAAAACACGAATAAAAAAGTTTACACGAAACAAAGCGATATAAAATGGACTTTGTATTTAGTTTTTACACATCCACAAAAAATGTATAGTGTTTTCTTTCTTGTTTAACTAGTTTTACAGCTTAAAACGTACTTAGATTTACTATTTAATTTTAGTGACGATGTTTAAAAAAAGTATAAATACAGGGTGTCACAAAAAAATTAACAACTTTGTTGCAGTATATATATTTAAATAAAGGCTTACACAAATTTTATTATCTATATATATAAAAGGCAAAGCCCTCACTGACTGACTGACTCACTCATCACTAATTCTCCCACTTCCCACTTACCTAAGAGGCTGAAATTTGGTACACTGATTCTTTAGGCATTAAATAGGAAAACTAAGTGGTTTTTATTCTGATCGGACTCTCGGACTCCGCCCCAGTGGCTCTGGAGTTTCCCATGTTAACCTAATGAGTACTAATATTTAAATGGAATTAATGAATCACTAGTGTACCTGTTGCTCGAATTCGAGCAATTTCGAAGCATTGCAGGCGACACAAAGATTATGGAAATACTAACGATCTACACAACAGTTGGAAATAATCAAAATCTTTTGTAAATACCTTATCTTTTTTCAAAAAGATGATCTTGTTTTTTAAGTGTTTTCTACAAATTTTTCCCTCTCATAGCCGCATTAGGTTGTCTATGATAACGATTATAAATGAAAAAAAAAACATTATTCCTATTTCTTCTACTTGGTTGTGTTCTATGACTTTTTCTATGTTTCCATTGTTTGCAAATCGGTTATTTCAATGATTGCTCAAGAAATGTAGAACAGTGTTAATTCAGTTTTATTTTTAGCCTAAATCAAATTGTCCAGGATTTCTCGCTCTTTTCCATTGTAATAATTACACCAACCTAAGTTTCGTCTACAGATGCAATATGCCAACGAATATCACCAATGTACAATCTCCAAGAAGTGGTAAAAAAAGGCAGAAACCAACCCATACAATAGATATGAGTTAACTCCAAAATAAATAATTTTAAGAGTTACTGTGATATTAGGATTTTCCACTGAATTGGTAATAGAACATTATATTGCAAAACATGACACGATGCAGAAGAAAATCCATTTTAAAATCAGAAAAACCCATTGCAAATAATTTGTACTTAATTTTGACAAATTCAATAAATCACAATATATTTAACAGCTGTTTCATTAAAAAGTAGTGTAGAATTACGCATATGGTCGTAATGTAAACAAATCTGAAGAGGCAACTTTAAAGGCTTCTGGGGCAGAGCCCAAAGGGAATTTACTTCGTTCCTCTTTTGATGGCTCATCTACAGACCAAGACCTTTATTTAGAGACCCCTACCAAGTTTCTACGCCCAGCCGTTCTCTCAAATTAGCTGTGACAAAAACCCCGTTTTTCTCCATAAGAATAACATGGGGTGGGAATTTAAAGGTCACTGGGGCAGAGCCCCAAGGGAATTCACCATGTCTTTAGACACCACTACTGAGTTTCTACGCCCAGCCGTTCTCTCAAATTAGCTGTCACAAAGAAAAACAGTTTCATATTAATATATAGATTCTCGAGCTCCAACCTAAAGGTGAGTGAGCGTAGCGAACGAACTTCAACCAGGACGTGATTGAGCCATGCGAACGAGCTCACATATGAAGTTAAACGGGGCAAAGCCCGCGGGTACAGCTAGTTGAATATAAAGTAACACCCAAATTCTTAAGTTTTTCTGGATATTAGTGTGATTAAAAAATTTCAACACGGCTTCCACTGTCGACAAAAAAACAGTAAATACGTTATAACTCTGACCACACTCCATGCCACAATTAATCAGTAGCATTGCTGAAGGCTGCATTGATTTTAAATCTCAATTCTCCAACATTGGAGACTTTCGCCTTGTAAACTTGGTCTTCGACCCCAGACGGAAAATCATATTGTGTTAGATTTTGTTCCAATGTGATATTCAACACACTGAGCTTTCTCTTGCACGTTCATGACTGCCTTACTGTAGGTTATGATTTGTAGTTGAAAACATAGCTTTGAACGACAACAATGGATCAGCTGATACAAGCAAATCATGTTTTAAAAATCTTTATGATTTCCTCTGTCATATTATAGTAGTTTCAAAAATGGTCTATGGATGTCTAAATCGATTGTATTAAGCTTCATAGTTCAGTTTTATTCGGGACACACTGTACTTTTTGAGGATTAAAACAGACGACGTCAAAACCAATCTTGTACAACTTATTTAGTCTAACTCACTCAATCCTACAAAAATCCAAGACATGCACGGTTTTGTAATTACCTGGTTTTCTGCGAGGTCAGCTATACTCAAGTTGTACACGAGATTCCTGCAACAGACAAAACAACAAATTAGTGAACAAATATAGCAAACAACAAACAACAACGTAGGAAACGGTCATTGGCAAATGTAGAACCAATAACAGTAGTGAATGACGAACAGCTGATTGACAAACCCTGTACAAAACCGAGGCTTGCGACGAACAAACTTAACAATGAGCGTAGAACAACAAAGTCATAACCGTACGTTAGAACCGCGATATTATCCGGGGGCGAACAAAGCAAACATTTAACTTGCGGCAAGTAAGCAGCTTTCGGGAAATTAATTAAGGCTGTGCTCGGATAACGCGTATCTTTACAGGGGAAGAAGCGAAGCTTGGGAAAGTTATAAGTTGGCGAGATAAATGTCCGGCCCCTTGGTATTGTGGGTTGTAATCCTACTGTCTTAGGCTGTCAGGCGGGTACTGAAGTGAAATGTCAAATTAGACAAGAAACTAGGATAATATGATTGTAAAATGAAACGAAGACATGATATTTAGGATACAATATTACATAGTACTTCAGTAAAGTCAGAACATCAGAAAGTCAGTCACATAACTTATCAACAAAAACATAATGGTCCAAATTCTATGATGAAAGTCAACTTAAGTAGTGGCCAGAAGATTTAGGTTACTTCAACCTGCATTCGACACTTGCTGGGAACTATGTAGGTTAATTTCGATTTTTAAAACGTTGGATTTTTCGTAAAAACCAATAGTTAGTTTTTATTTTGTATGCAAACAAAATTCAACATGCCTTACAGAAGAATATAGAAACAAAAACATAGCCTACTATTGAATAGTAATCAATAATGGATTACATTGTTTTACATTTTACAATGCTACAACAATACACACACCGCAACATATAGTACCGTATGGAAAGCATATTCATATTTTGCGATACATTCAGTAAAAAAAACCATGTGTTTATGCAAAAAAAGAATAGTTTATTCTAATTAGTAGTTAAAATGAAGGAAAGGCCCTTTAATATACAAATTGCTTAGGAAAATAAATCTTAAGAGGCATTTGTTTTAATTTCTGGCAGCAAAAACCCACCCCAGTTGCTGTAGAGTCAAACTGAACAGCGAAACTCATCAGAACATTCACAACGGCGAGGTGAGTTCACTGGAGTTGAAATGATTACATGAATGGTCATCTCGGCTGGTTGGCCTGCTGAGAACTTTAATTCCCACTGTAAAACGGGGGGAAATATTTCATCTTAGAGTTTATATTACTTAAATCTTCAAATTTAACTTTTGCAAATTGTAAACACATTAGTTGTAAAAAAGTTTGACAATGAGGATAGGTTGCTGTTCCTACGGAAACCCCTAGGAACATTACCTAGCAGTGTAGGTGCATTGACTGAATAAAACCTGATTAATGTACGTTTCAAGTTGACATGCCAATTGCACATGCATTAGACGTAGACATATTCTCAACAAAAATAACCTAGTTTTAATCAAAATGCATGACTTCGATATAATCTAAACTATAACACGTCAATTATTAGATTTGTATTCAACCTATCTCAAATCTTATTAAACTTTGCAATAAGGATGCCAAGAATAAACAAATAAAAGCCATTAAAAGTTTGCAAAATGAACCCAATTTCCTAGCAGGTGTTGTCAAACTATAGACTACATATATTGAGTCGCAGACGACGTGACCTCGTTTTGAAACCGTCTGCTCAACAGAAGAAACTCAAATCATAACTTTGAATGTTCCTCGATAACAGGTTTGAATATGCTGAAGCACATTATTTCCTAGAATCACTTTGGTATTGTGGTTGAAACGTTTATCCGGCAGTATAAACTTATCCACATTTTCTTTATTTATACTTTTCTTCCTTGTCCTATTTATAACAGACCCCTTCTTTGCAGATGGTTATTTCAGTTACTTGAAATTTCCGTTCATGTTTCATGAACTTTAAAACATTTAATTGGTTTATTGTGATTACATGACATTACTTTTAGGGTTATTTTTAGTCTTCTATTCTCTTTCGCTAGAATGCAATACAAATACTTAAAAATAAATTATTTTGTTTATCTAATTAGTTTTACAGTTGGCGAAACAAAACTAGATGAATAGTAGACATTTAAATGAAAACCTACATTTCCTATAGAAGTTTCCACAACAATATCTACATTCGATAAAAGTAGGCCTATGACCATTCTATAGAGAATGTTCAATTCATGGCGAATTGAAAATATTAAAATACGATAACGCTCACAGCCATTTAGCTGTAATTTTTCCTAATGTTGGTGCTTGAAGAAAAGTAGTTGTAAGTAATTGTAAAATAATTGTATGCTTAAATTAAGTACCGAAGACCAGGTATTTTAAACTACGTATTTCGATATAACTAATTCATTTATATGAAAAAAGACAAGAAGTAGACCACCTCCTTTTATGCCTACGACCTTAAAATGCACAGAAAATCAAGGTTAAACATATTTAAGTAATTATGACTTCCTCATCATACTTAGTAAACGACAAAAAGCATAATTTAATTCCAAACAGAAAATTAAAAGCAACCTTTGTAGCGTGCAGCCAAAGATACCGTGATTTAATAAACCTCAAATGAACATTGTGTTTCCATTTCGCAATTCGACGATAAGAGAAACGTACAAAAGACCTTTGATGCAATCAAATAATCAAGTTATTGATTTACTCATAACCATTACCTTTGCTCGATCCAGTTATATCACTTTGCAAGTAATGCGCATCTATAACGTTCTTCCATTGGAATAAATTTTAACTTTTATTCGTTGAAATATTATTTAGGTTACAGTAATATTTTATTGAACTATTCCACATTAAATACAATTATGGTTTAATAAATCCGGTTTCTATATTCGGGATTGTCTACTTAGAAACTTTCAATGTAATCATTCATTGATTAAAGATTAGTTTTAGCATATTGAATACAACTTTACTGTAAAAACTAGTAACATAAAAACTGTCTTTAACTTTGGACGGAAAAGTAAACATCCCACCAATATTGACCAGCTGTTGTAGCCAGTTTCAATAATCATGGAGAACACAGAACTAAGTTACTGTGATATTATTGAAGCTTTCCAACGCTGTGTAGATGAAAATATAAAAGGGGAAAGAGTTAAAAAGAGCACACTTTCAGTTAAACATGGTTAGACATTGGCTTATTATAAATAAAGCATGTTATTTTCAGTTACCAAAACAATTGGTGCCTCAAATGGAAAAACATTATTTCTCAATACAAGTTTAATATGGAAATCGATTGTCTTCTACAAGGTAGAGCATGTATAGTTTTGGTCATAAACCAAAAACATACGGTCGTCTACAATGCTAACTGGACAGCGTTGTAGCAAAAGAAGAATGATGGATGTAACGTAATACATTTAAACGGATTTCCCATTTGGGGAATATGCTATTATCGTACAGGGCTGTAGAATAACATCGTAGGTCTCATGGTAAGAATCAGACCTGGGATCGATTTACATAAGGACAAAACACAATCCGTTCAAATTCGTGTACAGTATATCAACATAGTAAACCTACGTTTATTCCAACATCGCGAACAAGCATGATTGGACTATGGAAACTAGGTTTTTGTGGGAGGGGGGGGGTTATGGGGTGAAAAATGTTTTTTTCTTCTATAGTTCTAGATGATTTTGTTCACCTCAATTAAAGTTTTATAGAAACCTAATCTAAGTATATAGATTTATACTATTCTAAGCAATTTTACAATAGAGTCCAACCAAGAAAGAAGCAATGTAAGTGGTGTTCAGCCCGCTACATTAATCTCAAACACGTCACACACGTCTACGGGGTTCATTTATTTATCCAGTTCCAATCAATTGCTGTGGACTTGTGTGATTAAGACATAGTGAGTTTTTGGTTGCATTGTAAGCACTAAGTATTAATGATTTTGCAGTATGTGAGTAGTTTTACTTTTTATTTAGTTTAAAACATTGGGATTGTTCAAACAAACAAAAATAAAAATTTATGGTTTGTAGAAGGATACTGACGTAGACATGCTGTAGAGCCCAAAGACTTATATTTATTACAAGCCCCTTTATACTGTTATTTATGACTATCTTGTTGCCATGGTCAAAGGGCGTACATGAAACTATAAAATTAACTCTAGAATACGATAAACAATATACAATGAAAACCTAGAGCCAATTTTGTTCATATATTTGAAAGCAAATTTCTGTAGAATAGGGCTCTCAAAGAGTGAGTTATAGTAGAAATTACAGCTTCACCTTTCAAATAGACATAGTTGACAATTTAAATACAACAAAAAACTGTATTGACAATTAGAACTCTGTTGGAGAATCAATTTAATTAAGTTAACTTTTATTATTAAACCATAAAACTAATTTGTCTCAATTTATTCTATGATAAAATCATTTGACAAAACCATTTAACCATTTGACCATATGATTAACAACATCTTAATCAGTGGGAATTAACAGTCTAGTTTTATCCATTGCCAAAGATTTAAGCCATAGATTTAGTAAATGTGGCTATCACGTTGGGTGACTGAAGTAAAATAATTCTAACGGAAAGCTGAAAACATAAATGCCCGTTTGATAAAATTATAGGTTATAATAAACACAGCTATCAACTACAACGACAAAACTGTGCAAAGCCATTATTGTGGAAAGAAGCAATTTCAAGGCGTTCAATTCAAAGATCTATAAAGTTGGGAGTCTTTGATGATTGCGTTTAATGAGTTTTAATTAACCTAGTTACAGGGACACTCGTTAGGGTGAGAACACTTTTACCCTTGACTCTTTATAATTGTCTGTATGAAAGTGTATTCGTTGTTCAATCTATTAAGTTTAATTTAGATTTTTCCTTACTGAAAATTAGGTATCATAGATTTAAGAGTGGGTCTACTCTTTTATTCACGGTTCAATATGAAAAAGAATAAAAAATAATAATTATTTAACATTTTTGACTTAACGAAGCCCTTGGGAAATTTTCAATGTTGAGTTTTCGTTTCTAAGTATTTTACATTTATTTGA